ACAAGTTAAATTGTTTCTTTGTTTAAGTTTTGTTAACCTTAACATTCACTTTTCAAACCACAATTTAAATAAACAACATAAATAACTTCATTATCCAACAAAATAAAACAAAGTAGAAAAATAACACAAAAAAAAAAAACAGAAACAAAATCTCAAGGACCATGAAAGTCGAACCACAGCGACGACGAAGACGAATCACTGAGAGAAACCTTATTATAATTAAATATGTCTGTCTGTTTGTCTACACTTGGCCAAAATTAAGATTTACTTCAAAAAACAAAACAAAAAATACTGACGGCATACCATTGAAGGTTTACAATTACCTTGACAAACACAAGCCGTCAGACGCACACACACACACACACACCAATACAACAGACACGATGTGTATGGTAAATAAGACCTTTAACAAGGAACATAAATATAAAATAAAATATGGAATGGCTGCTTGACTGTCACTAGAACATGAGTAGAGCACATTAGCATTACATGCGGCTGGTGTAATTTTTACAAAAACAAGAACAACAATAATAAAACACGTTGCAAAGGTATATCTCTAATATTTCATCTCCTCACACACACACACACACAGACACAAAAAAATAAAAACGAATGAAAGTTGTGGGCGCCTAATGTCATTCACTGTACAAAGTTCTTTAATTTTTACACACATACATACATACACAGCAACAACAATACCAACACAGTCCAACCAACCAACAAGGACAATCTACAACAGCTGCAACAACAACAGCAAAGGGGGGAAACTAAAATAAATTTTCACACAGCCACATAGAACTTGTAAACTGGTAAAGTCATAGCCAACAATGACAACAACAACAACTACAGCTCGAACAAAAATAATAATAAGGATGAGTGACAGTTTTATGTTGTAAACAAACCCATACAAATAAAGTGACAGATAGAGCGAAAGAGAGATTGTAACAAATTCAGGGTCTTTGCCTTGCGAACAGGAGGGGATTTAGCCCAGTTTTCTGTCTATATCATCCAGGTCAGCCGGGCAGCCAGTACACAGTTGGGGGGGAATGGTGGTTAGATGGGGTACCATAAGAAGTAAATTTATTTATTTTTGTTGTTGTTGTTGTTGTCGGGTAGGGTTGTTGTATTTTGAAACCATTTCTAGGTGTCTCTATACTGTTTTGTTATAAACCCGAAAGGTGAAAGTGCATTTCTATTCGAACGTAAATTTGTATTATGGCACAAAGACTCACACACACACTTACAACCGTACATTATCCATCCTGGCATAATGAAATTTGACTCTGTGGCCAGTTAAAACCAGTGGAGTGGTATGACAGAAGGGTCAGTCACATTCTAATTGGATTTTGTGGAAATAACGTTGTTGTTGTTTTTGTTGCTGCTGCTGATGTTGTTTCTGGATTTTGGTTAAAAATAATTAAATGCTAATATTTTTTGTTGGAATTGCTTTTTGACTTTGTGGTCCGCTCATTTGCATTGTTATTTATGTTACCAATGGCAAATCTAAGCAATATTTGGGATTTTATGGTTTTTTTCTTTTTAGTTAACCAGAATGCAAAAAGGACATGCGAAAGGATTTGTTGTTAAGTCTACTCATAGGTGAAATTTGAATTTTGCCATAAAATTAAATTTAAAATTAAGTCTTTAAAGAGAATAGATAAAACATAGTTCAAACCAGTGAGCGGAGCAGTATAGTCGGACAGGGCCGAACATACGATACCCTAAACAACTACCACGGAAACTCTAACTTTCTACTGATGTTTATACCAAGCCTGGGCAATATTTCTGGTATTTGCACCCTATAGCACGATTAAAGGTCACCATTAAAGGTCACCATTAAAGGTCACCATTAAAGGTCTTCCTTACACTGACATATTTTCCGAATATTACTAATATTCAGTACAGCCCTTTTATACTTGTTCAGATTCCCTTCACCTTGGGTTGTGTTGTGATGTTCGGCTTATAATTGTGGTCATATCGACTCCAAAAAACACAAAAAATTATGTTTTCGGTCTACTTCATCCCAAACTTAGAATATGATCATCACCGAAAATTACAGCGCTATATTTCCGTCTCTAGTGTGGTAATGGGTTGCTAAATAATATTTGAGTACGTAAGTACCTGTAAATTTTTAGGTGTAACTCTCACATTCGAGTGCATATGACAATATAATTGGTGTCAATTTAGAGGTTAACCACTCCTCTTGGATATTATATCAACTTAACGGGCCTATGTTCTTCAGGAGTAAATATATGCGCCATAGAATAGCATTTTTGTAATTGTTCACACAAAAGTCAGGGTCCATTTGATCCACTAAATATTGACTTATCTTTATGAAAACAGGCATGTTCTCCATGTAAAAATTCACGATGTTCGGGTCATAATAGCGGCCTCTGGAGCGACCAGAAAATCAGACATATATAACATTTTTAACCGATCTTTACCAAAAACAATAGGATTGGTCCATAACTGGGGCCTGTATCGTGTTTACAAATTATAATGGACAGACGGGCGGACGGACACACATGTCTAGATCGACTCAGCTAGGACCAATATTTCGCGGTGTTACAAACTTTTAAGGCCTTGAAAAAATATTCTTTAAAGAAACAACACCTCCTGTAGGCCTTGAAAAAATATTCTTAAAAAAATCCACGCCTCCTGTAGGCCTTAAAAAAATATTCTTTAAGGAAACAACGCCTCCTGTAGGCCTTGAAAAAATATTCTTTAAGGAAACAACGCCTCCTGTAGGCCTTAAAAAATATTCTTTAAAAAATCCACGCCTTTTGTAGGCCTTGAAAAAATATTCCTAAAAAAAAATCCACGACTCTTGTAGGCCTTGAAAAAATACAGGTCTACATGAGGCGTTGATTCCATAAAGAATATTTTTTCAAGGCCTACAAGACTGGAAACAGGGCTCTATTTTTTAAGGAATTTTTTTAAAGCCTAGAAAACTGCGTGGATTTTTATAACCTTCACCACCCTGTGATACAGGGTATTATGTCTTTGTGCATATGTTTGTAACAGGCAAAAATAATCGAGATAGACCCATGGTTCCTTTTGAGAATATGCATAGAATAAACTTTCTGAGTCGATCTATGCATGTCCGTCTGTCCGTCCGTCCATGTATTTTTGTGAGCAAAGTACAGGTCGCATTTATGTTCCGAATTGGATGAAATTTGGCACAGCCCATTGGTTTGGCCCAAGGACGAACCCTATTGAAATTGGGAAAAATCGGTTCAGATTTAGATATAGCTCCCATATATAGTTTCGCCCGATTTTAGGTAAATGGTGCACCAAAGTCTCTGAAAATCATTAGATTTGCACGAATTTTGTCATAGCGTACTGAATTAAGTATACAATGATGTGTGCTAAATTTCGGGAAAATCGGTTCAGATTTACATATAGCTCACATATATATTTTCGCCCGATTTTAAGTAAATGGTGCACTAAAGTCCCTGAAAATCATTAGATGTGCCCGAACTTTGCAAAACTTTTGATTTGAACGAATTTTGGCATAGCGTATTACATTAAGTATAGAATGATGTGTGCTAAGTTTCGTAAAAATCGGTTCAGATTTAGATTTTAAGTAAATGGTGGACCAAAGTCATTGAAAATCATTAGATTTGCACGAATAGCGTACTGAATTAAGTCTAGAATGACGTGTGCTAAGTTTCATGAAAATCGGTTCAGATTTAGATATAGCACCCATATATATTTTCGTCACATTTTATGTAAATGCTGCACCAAAGCCCCCTATATCTTTCGATTTTGGGTTTAGCGTACTGAATTACGTCTAGAATGATGTGTACAAAGTTTCGTGAAAATCGGATCAGATTTACAAACACCTTCTATATTTATTTTCATCCGATTTTAATGGTGCACTAAAGACCCCTAGCTAGGCCGATTGACACAACGTACTGAAATTTAAATCGGTTCAGATATAGATATAGCATAGCTTCCATATATAATTTCGACTTATTCATGTTTATTGTACACCAAACAATCAATGGGTGTTTGATTAAGATTACATTTTAAACAGTGCAGCATACCGAATAGCGTTTGTCAAGTTAGCTTTAAATCGATTTACAAATTTTAGCATAGGTAGCAGAATGACATGTGTAGGCTGTGTAGGGATTGATATTAGTCGGTTTAGATATAGATAAAGATCACATATTTAAGTTCGTTCAATATCGTGTCAATGTTCCTTCGAAAAGGCGACGTCTTTTAGGATACATATGTATAATATGCCCAAAGTGGTGAAGGGTATCATATAGTCGGCCCAGTCCGACTTTACTACTTTCCTTACTGGTAGCTTATAACTTTGATTTGGATTGGCCGATGATTACCAAAATTTCAGTGAATTTAAATTAAGAACCGTAGTATCTAAAAACGTAAGAAACTTTAAAACATGCTAAGTCGACTTAGCATACTATGGTCCGGAGACGTCGATATGTACAATATACCCAAAGTGGTGAAGGGTATGATATAGTCGGCCCAGTCCGCCCGGCTCTTGTAGGCCTTGGAAAAATATTCTTTAAAAAAATCCACGCCTTTCGAAGGCCTAAAAAAATATTATTTAAAAAATATACGCCTCTTATGGGTGCTGAAAAATTGTTCATTTCTGAAATGTCCTTCGTATGTCCTGATCTAAAATTTAATTTGATGCTTAAATTCAAATATTCGACACATTTCAGTTCAATGAACCTCGCTGGTAACATTGTCTTCATTTGGGTCAATGACCTATGGAAAATATTTTGATTGTGGACAAAGTTTCTTCTGCGAAAAGACGCATCTGGTTATCCTCCACTGGGAACTACAACTTTCTCAAAGTGTAAACAATTGTCCTTTGTGTAATATTCATTTTTTTTGTGACTCGAATATTTTGTTCGTCATGGATGGCTGTTGTCATTTTTCATTAAACCCTTAGTTTATTTCTTTAATAAAACTAATAACAATACATTGTTTTATGAGATTGCTGTTGTTGTAGTTTTTGTTGTTACCTTGTCTGAACAATGTTGTTAAGTTGATGGCAACCATACTTCTTGGCCAGGTGACAATGCTAGCCATGACAACCATGTTTTTATGTTTTTTTTTTAGACTCAATCCTAGCCTTGACACCTTACCCCGATGAGAGGTGCAAGAGGAAGGGCGTGATATTCTATATCTGTTTTATTTTGAATTTAGTTACCTTGCTCCGTTTTTTTCCAGAGGTCTGTCGTCAGCTACCATTGTCTGTCTCCTTGTGAAAGTTGTAGTTCGTTTTTTTTTCTTATTTCGACAGCAACAACAAACAAATGCCATCAACAACAAATATCCTTTTGCAAATGTTGTTTAGTATGCTCATAGTATTACCTTTTTTATTTAATTAATTTTTTGTTTTTGTCGTACTCTAGTTCCCTATAATAATATTGCTGTAGTTGCTGTTGTTGTTCGCCTGTATTGTCTCTGTAAGTCGCTGGGAATTTTATTTACTTTTTCCAGGACACTGTGTGTGTGTGTGTGAGAGAGAGAGTTTTCTATTTCTACTGGCTGTCTGCATGTAGTTGAGAACTTGTGTGAGTTGTCTATATTTAGTTGGATGGTTGGTTGTGTTGGTGGTCCATTTGTTTGTATGTGGTAATGTTGCTGGTATTGCTGCTCCTTGGATAAAGTTTGCGTCAACTTGAATTTGTTTTGCTGGTCCTAGATTTCATTTGTTGCTACTTTTTTGTGTCTTTCAGTTCTATCTTGTCCTGCTGCTACCTGAAATCCCTTTCATGCCATTTGGAAAAAATGTCGTGTCGTACTTTTGTTACGCTTCGCTTTGTGCATAAGTAAAATGTTCTGTAATAATTTTTTATACCACTTAATGCTGTTGTTCTTTCTTTCCTACTCTTTCTTTCTACGAAATTCACATTCGCATAGCCAGCTAGCTAGCTGGCAATCTAAACTAACGACGATGCTATATGAAATGTAAACGTAAAATCGTTGAGAAGATTGCAAAATAAGCATTGTCTTACGGGAGTATTATCATGGTTGTTGGCAGAGAGCATGAACACCGCCACCAATACAATGACTACAAATACCACCACCACTACTACTACTGTAGCTATGGGAATAACTAGTAAGTCGTAGGTTTTGTTATTTTACTGTAATTTACATAAAATGTAATTTGTTGTGTTATTATTTCGTTTCGTTTTTTTGCTTCTACTTCGAACTAAGGAAATGCAAGGGAGTTCAAAGAAAACAAAAAAAAAAAAAAAATGAACAGTGAAGATATCTAGGCTAAAAAAATAATATAAAAAGCCAAAGCGAAAGTGGCATATTTTTTTAGAATGGGATAATGTATATGAAATTTACAGAAAATAAAGAACATTCAAATAATTGCCAAGGCATTTAAATGGGGATAAACTTTAATTTTCGCAAACAAAGCTCTGGTGTCTACATTTCTTTATTTTTATTTTCTTGTTTTTCTTTTCTAGTTATTTTTCATTTGTGTACGGGTGTGTGCTCTTTGGCTCGTTATACACTTTAAGTTGGCTTTAATTGTTTATTTATTAAATTTATAGCTCTGGGATAATGTTGTTTTTCTTGTGTGTATTTTTTTCTCTTTTATTTTTTTAATTGCATCCACCCGAGAAGGTCATAATAATGGAGAATTAAATACGTGATTAAGAAAATAAAAGATAACAATAATACATATTTTCTTTCGTAGCCACCAATAATGATAGTCTTTAAAATATACACATAAAAATTACGATTGATTTTTTTAATTCGCGACTATATCTTTAGTAAAATATCCCATAAAAATTAAAATAATTTTTAATCTATGAAAAATTATGGAAATATGTTTATGGTAATTTGAAATATTTTTCTAGCATTTACGTTACTTTTTCTCATTCGAATCGAACTTAATTTTAGAAACGAAAATCGGACGAAAATATATTTGGGAGCTATATCTAAATCTGAACCGATTTTCACGAAATTTTACACACATCGTTCTAGACTTAATTCAATACGCTATGCCAAATTTCGTGCAAATCGAAGGGTATATAGGGACTTTGATGCACTATTTACCTAAAAGCGGGCGAAATTATATATGTGAGCTATATCTACATCTGGACCGATTTCCTCCAAACTTGACGGACATCACTCTAGGATCAATTCAGTACGGACGAAAATATATATGGGAGCAATATATAAATCTGAATCGATTTTCATGAAACTTAGCACACACCATTCTAGGCTTAATTCAATACGCTGTGCCAAATTTTGTGCAAATCGAAAGCTACTTAGGGAGTTTGGTGCACCATTTACCTAAAATCGGACGAAAATATATATAAGAGCTATATATAAATCTGTACCGATTTTCATGAAACTTAGCATACATCATTCTGGACCTAATTCAGTACGCTGTGGCAAATTTCGTGCAAATCGAACGATATTTAGGGACTTTGGTGCACCATTTACATGAAATCGGACGAAACTATATATGGGAGCTATATCTAAATCTGAAGTGATTGTCACGAAACTTTGCACACATCATTCTAGACTTAATTCAGTAAGGTATAGCAAAATTCGTGCAATTCGTAAGATATATAGGAACTTTAGTACACAATTTACCTTAAATTGGACGAAAAAATATATGGGAGCTATAGCTATATCTGAACCGATTTTTCCCAATTTCAATAGGGTTCGTCCTTGACTTAATTCAGACGCTGTGCCAACTTACGTGGCTATGCTAAATTTCATCCAATTCGGATTACAAATGCGACCTGTACTTTGTTTGCAATTTAACATGCATCCTTTTAAAATTGTGGCAAATATTATTTAATTCTTTGAAAAAATTTGAAAATGTTTTTAGTCCTTGAAAACATTTTGGAAATATTTTTTTTGTCATTTTTAAACGATTTAAGACTATGAACATTTTTGACAAATATTTTTGGTCATTTTATTTTTTACTAGCTGAAAAATTATTCTTTAAAAAATCCGCTTCTCTTTTAGGTTCTGAAAAAATATTCTGTAAAAAATCCACTCCCCTTTTAGGCCCTGAAAAGCTATTATTAAAGAATCTTAAAGGCCTTGAAAAAATATTCTTTTTAAAATCCTTGGCCTTGTTCCGTTTCTCTTTTAGGTCCTGAAAAATTTTTCTTTAAAAAAACCACTCCTCGTTTAGGCCCTGAAACACTATTCTTTAAAAAACCCACGCCTCGTTTAGGCCCTGAAAAACTATTCTTTAAAAAAATCCACTCCCCTTTTAGGCCCTGAAAAGCTATTATTAAAGGCTCTTAAAGGCCTTGAAGAAAATAATTTTTAAAATCCTTGGCCTTGAAAAAATATTATTTTTAAAATCTTTGGCCTTGAAAAAATATTATTTATAAAATCCACAACTCTTATAGGTCTTAAAAATTGTCTTTAAAAAATCCACACCTCGTTTAGGCCTTGAAAAAACTGATTTAAAAAAATCACGCTTCTTAGGCCTTGAAAAATGATTTAAAAAATTAATGCCTCTTAGGCCTGGAAAAAAATTATTTTAAAAATCCACCCCTTACTTATGGCTAAAAAAATTATTTGAATTGAAACCCATTTTTTACGCCTCTAAAATGCGTTTCTAGGAATTGTAAAAATTCTTTAAAAAATGCACGGCTCTTTTAGGCCTTGAAAAAATAATTTGAAAATTCATTTTGTTACTTGAGAAAATATTCTTTAAAAAATCCACGCTCTTTTTGGTACTTCAGAAAATATATGCTTTAAAAAATCCAAGTCTCTTTTAGACCCTGAAAAAATATTCTTTAAAAAATCCACGCCCCTTTTGGTATTTCAGAAAATATACTTTAAAAAATCCAAATCTCTTTTTAAAAATCCACGCCTTTTATAGACTTTGAAAAATACAATCAAAGTCTCTTTTAAGGCCCTGAAAAATATTCCTTAAGAACTTCACGCCTTTTTTAGGACCTGAATAATATTCCTTAAAAAATCCACGCCTTTAAAGGCCCATGAAAAAAAAATGTTTTAAAAAATCCAGACGTTTTTTGCCCTATAAAAATATTTATTATTCTGATAATAGTCTATGTACAAATATATCCTAACAATCCAAATTAATTTTTTCCCCCCCATTTCAGTTGTTTCTTGCACAATTTTCTGATTTTCACACTTTCCTTTTAATATCGTAATTTTCACAACAGCAAAGATTTTTGCTTTTCAATTCATTACATATGGTCTTAATGAAAATGCGGACCAAACTCAAAGGGAACACTAACTAAATGAAAATATATGATGTCTTGAGCTGGTAATAACTTAAGTTTTCTTCTTTTTCTGTTCTTCTTCTTCTTGTAATTTTCATGGTTTAAGGATTAATGAATTTCCAAGACGAAGAAGGAGCAGAAGCTGAAACTAAAATGAAAAGAAATGAACCATATTTTTTGATTTTACTTGCATGGCGTCGTTTTTTTTTTGTCACACTTTGTGTTGCTGCCGCTGCTGGTCCAAGTAAATAAAAATTAACAGCATAAAAAATTAAGACAAGAGAACAAGTGGAAAAGTAACCAAAAAAATGAAACAAAAATCATTGATAAAAATCAACGAAGGACATTTTTTTCATGTTGTCCTTTTGTTTTATTAAAACTTTAATTTATATCTTAGCAAATATTCTGTTTTTGTGCAGGAACATACATTATTACACATTCTTTCCTCTGCCAGGATTCATTTTGTTTTCATTTCTACAACTTGTAATAATTCTCTGTTCGCTGCTCCTCTCTGCTATCTTTCTGTTTTTGAGTAAGTCGAATATAAATTATTCTTAATCCTATAAACATTTGTATTTTAATGTCATTTTGGATTTTTTTTTTTTTTCATTTCATTATTGCACTTGCCGTTTTCTAGGGAATTTTGTTGTTTTGTGTGTTAGTGTGCGTGTTTGTTTGTGAGTTATTTTTCGTTTTGTTTTATTATTGCAAGTCAATCTTAATTTTAGTTTTGTATTTCTTTGTGAGTCCTTTCTTGTTTTTATCCTGAATTGTATTGCACAAGTGCACTTGTTTTTGTCATAGTTTCAACTCCCAACTTCTTGTCCACATCCTGTGTTCTGAAGTGAAAAT